TTTTTGAGTCTTGATTGGTTAGCTCAGATTTTCTTTATTCTGTAATATGGGTGTAAAAGTCTTCTTTTTTCTTTCTTTTCTTTGTTTTCTTTTTCTTATTTTCTTTCTAGAGTTTTGTTTTCTTCTCAAAAACCTTTCTTGTATTTCGATAAAAATTACTGATCTTCTGAAGTGTTTTACAAAAATTCTTTGTACTATTACTAGTAATATGTTCTTTTTCTTTCTTTTACAATTTTTAGTTCTTTTCAACTGGGTGCTAATGTTTCTTAAGACGAATTCAGATTCAGATTTTATTAAGTCTTCAAACCATATATCTATTTTATAAGCAGATCTTTTTTCTTCTTTTTCCACATTTTATTATTGAGCTGTAAGTCTTTAATACTTACTAAATATATTACCTCTATTAACTATTCTACTGGGGTTAGTAATATAATTTCTGATCTTTTTTTTCTTAAATCTTGTTTAGCAATTTTACTTTTGCAGATCTGTCTCTTGTTTCTCTTCTTCTTTTCTTCTCTAATTTCTCTTTTTTTTTTCTTATATCTTGCTGCAGCAGATTTGACAGATACTGTAAACTGTATTATTAGAGACTTTAGTACTATTTTATTAGATAGCACCATAAATCAGCTAATTTGGGTTTGGGCATTATAGCTTAGCGGTTAAGCTGCCAAACCCCTACAGAATAGGTTGATGGTTCGAGTCGGGCTGGAGGCAAAATCTTAGGATTTTAGCTTCTGTAACTCAATAGTGGGCCATAATCGAATGTGAAGCTCTGTGGTTAAGTCCAAGTGCAAGTATGAAACCGGAAAAGAAAATTATCAGAAAAAGGTCCAATCGTGGAGTAGTGGTATTATGTATGACAGGTTATAGAAAGTTCTGTTACATGTAGGTTGTGTATGTTAGTACTCGATTAGAGGTGACCGGAGCAGCACCAATATTTATAGTAATTGGGGTACTTGATTGGGAGAGTGATACGACAGTAACAAAACTGGAGTAGTGAGAAAAGTGGTGAATACAAGGATAACTTGTAGTAAAGGATTGGTCCATTTGTAGTTTAGAAGCATCTCTGGCCCCAAGCCACTTGGCCTATTAAGAAAGAAACCTGTGAAGACAGAATGAGAAGGCTGAAACTCAGAGTACGTAATAAAAACTCGAAATGGCTGGATTCATCAGGCTGGTAATACAATTGTACAAATCAGGCTTGTATATCAGAAATTGATAAGGAACACCAAATACTAAAATTGGAAGTATTACAGACCACAAGCTGCAACTAGGTCTAGACCTCTAGAGCCTTATAACCTAAAATATCAAGGCACCGAAACACCATAGCTCAAACTATGGAAGAGAAGTAATACGAAACCCGCAATCTGGAAGTTATAAGGTAATCTATAACGCAATACAGCGAGCCTGCACCAATACACAGAAGTACTTACCTATAAGGTAATGGGAATCAGCAGCATACTAACTAACTAGGCATTAATGACGAGACTTAACCTGAGCCAGCATGAGTTCTTTTTCATGATACTATCTGGGCAGACTAGCTGAAGATAACCAAGATTGGAAGTAGCTCTTGAGGCTACAAGACTATATCCTAGAAGAGACTATCAAATTTGGAAGCTTAGGTATAAGTGGTATGAGAGATGCAGGGAATGACGTTATAAGGAAGTATACCAAAATAGGACTAGTGAAGGATGAAAAAATACTGGATGAGTACTATCCATAAGGATGTACTGCTTCAGTAGATTTGGATCGCAGATAATGGATCAATGGCCAAATAGTGGATGGGGACACCTATCGCACAAGTAATGGTTTCGGCCAGAGTATAGATAATCAATAGGATCCGGGTCTGAGCTTGGTGTACTTGATATATGTAAATACGAAAATATAGTAATACATATAATGAAAGTATTAATAATAAATAAAGTTATGGACAAGATCCTACCTAAATATCAAAAAAAAAAAATCAGCTAATTTAATTTTAGCAAAAATTGACCCACCCTCTCAATTTTAGTTAGATCTTCATATACTTTTTTATATATAATTTTAATTTTTTTGACTCTCTTTCTAGAAAATCAACTGATTTTTTGGCACTTTCCTTATACTGTCTTTAGCAAGTTTTTCTTTGTTTTTAAAGTCTCTTGTTCTAGTCTAGGTTCAATTTTATTTTTATTTCAGCAGCTTGTTTTTCCTTTTGTCAGGCTTGCTTCTTGACTATGTTTTTAGTAGCTTGATTTCTCTTTTGTTGGACTTGCATCTTTCTCTTTTCTTCTTTGACTTTTTTTTTATCTCTTGCTGGTTTATTACAGTAGTCTTAATGAATTCTTTAAATTGCTATATTATTGATTTCAGTGCTGTTTTTGTCAATTTTTCCTTTATTCTTGAAGTCTCTTGCTCTAATCTAATTCTAGTTTCAACTTTATTTTAGCATCTTGTTTTTCTCTATCTATTATTACTCTTTTTACTTAATTAGCTATTTTTAGTTCTACTATATAACCAACTATTTCTTCCTTTATAATACAGTTAACTGGATTTTCTTCCTTTTATATTGCTTTGTAGAAAATTTTGTGTTCTCTTTCTATAAGTGCAAGTTCTGTATATTTTAATTCTCCTCTATTATACTGCTGTAATTCTTTAAAAGCCTTTTTATTTGCATCCCAGCTATTTCTTTTGGAATAGGTTCTTGCCTGAATATTCTGCTATTATTTCCTTTACTATTATGTCTATCATTTTGTTAGTTATTGCTGCTGACAAGTCTTAAATATCTTCTAATACTGCTTTAAGTTTTAAATCTGCTTCTTCTTTTGTGATAGATTTTTTTCCAGAACATTCTGCTGACTTTTGCTTCATATAACTTGTTAATTTTTCTTTGTTGCTGCTTGTTGTTGTTGTTTGGTATAGTTGTTTATCTCTATTGTTTACTTTTGTCATGTAGTTTTTAGTATATTTCTTTGTTTACTCTTCATTATGTGTTATAAATTTAGAGTCAGGGCCAATTTTCTAAAAATTTGCAAAGTGCAAAAAAATATTGTCGATTTTTCACAACTTCTTCTATTTTTTTGCTGTTATTGTTTTTACTACTTAAATTTTTTAAAAGACTAAATGTTTTGTGTTATTCTCTTTCTTTTTACTTAAGACTCCGAGTTTAGTTTCTTAATGACCTTTGTGTATTTCTTATAAATTTTTATTAAATTTTGTTTTTAAAATTTGTATTTTGATAATTAGTGAAAAGAGTTTGTCTTCATCATGCTTATTAGCATAGTAAGAAAGCAAGTATTGCTAAAGTTAATAATGTAATTTTAGATAGTAATACTATACTATTTTTATACAACTAATATCTAATAGCCTTTATAATGATAATATTAATAAATTATTTAGTTAATTAATATTATTCATATAAACTTTCACTTTTTTTTTCTTTCGACAATTCTGTTTACTTTATTATGGAAACAGACTTTCATCCTTACACGGCATAAGAAATCTAAATCTATAAGTGTTCTAACTAAAATGTAAACTTACGTACAGCATACTTCGCAGATGTCGTAACATCCACTTGCAGTTAGGACAAACTATTAAATCGCTGTGTTTTGCCTAAATGTGACCTGCCTAGCAACACTTAGCCTCCTCCAGAGATCCAGAACTTATTCCAGACTTATTTCTATCAGATTCCTTGGCTGATTGTTGCTTGCTCTATCAAAATTCTCACTCTATAATAGAATATCGGCAAACTAATAACACTTTCTCATAGAGAAGGAAAAAAGAAAAAAAAGTGATAATGGAAAATGAAAAAAGAGATAAAAAATAAAACTAATATATCAAAGAAAATAGATACTAATACTGTATTAAGGAATATAAAAAACTAAACTAAAACCTAAAAGAAACTATCACTAAAAAGAAGAAAACCTGCTAACCAAACAAAAACTTCTAATTATACAGAGTCATAATCTACTATTAAGTGCGAAAGTCTTGACAAGAAATATAAAACTAAAATAAAATGTACTATAACTCATGCCAGAGGTTAAAAATTATATACAGATGACTAGAGAATGTTTATATATCTCTTTTTACTTTACTTTACTCTTTCAATTAAATTTATATCTTTATCTGAAAGTATAAAAATTTTAGAATCTCCATGTATCTTATCCAATGATCACATGTTTGTATGTTCTCAACAACATAACACATAAGGTATTCTTTCGAACACTTATTTAGTTACTAAATTCACTAACACAGTCCATTTTATACATATTGTTTGTTAACATGTAGATTTTTCTGATATAGAAGTGATAAATATTAATGATCTTTTGGTGAGGGTATACTGAATTCCCTACTTTTTATCAAAAAATATAGCCAAAAGTATCGAAAGGAGAAAAATACTGTATTTGTGAGAGCTCAAGACAATGAAGATGTTTTTAGTTGTTTATTATAAAACTAAAAAGCTTTAGATACTTAAGTTAGGAGTTTTTCATCACTACTATTACCAAAATAAACCTTTTGGTTTAGATGCTAAATGTGTAAAGGAGTCCATCAAGAAAAAAAGCTTAACCCAAAGCACAAACCAACTATACGCCTCACTCCTTGGTATTTCATGTATAAGTCTTTATTGACAACAGTACCAATAAGAAACCTCATATATCTTCAGATTTTTTAGAGCTTTGAATCTTCAAACTGTTTTGGTGCAGTCTTGATTTAAGTGATTGTCAGAAAGAGTTGGTTGAAAGTTAATGTTTTTTTTTAATAAACTTTTACTTTTCTAAAAGATTTTTATGCAAAATATATAATAAAAAAAGGTGACTAATATTTATACCCCCCAATTTTGTTATTTGTACCTCCCTGTAGATCAAATTTTTCTTTAACTTTGAGCGAAGATATCATAACAACCATCAAACCAAATTTGATAAATTTTTTTTTATTTGAATTCTATAGCTTTGTTAAATTTAAATAAAAAAAAATTAATCAAATTTGGCTTTATAGTTGTTAAGATATCATTGCTCAAAGTTGAAGAAAAACTCAAAATGTTTATCTGTATCAAATTTTTTTTTAAATTTGAGTGAAAATATCTCAAAAACCACCAAGCCAAATTTGATAATTTTTTTTATTTGAATTCTGCAAAACTATAGAATTCTAATAAAAAAAAAACATCAAATTTAGCTTGATAGTTATCAAAATATTTTCGTTCAAAGTTTTAAAAAAGCCCAAAATGTCTAAAAATAAAAGTTGCATCAAAATTTTCTTTAACTTTGAGCGAAGATATCTCAACAACCACCAAGCCAAATTCGATAAATTTTTTTTTATTTGAATTCTCAACTTTGTAGAATAAAATAAAAAAAATTCATCAAATTTGGCTTGGTAGGTGTTGAGATATCTTCACTCAAAGTTAAAGAAAACTTTAACACAGCTTTTATTTTGATAAACATTTTGGATTTTTTTAAAACTTTGAGTGAAAATATCTTGATAACCACCAAACCAAATTTGATGAATTTTTTTTTTATTTAAATTCTACAGCTTTGTAAAATTCAAATAAAAAAAATTCATCAAATTTGGCTTGATGTTTGTCAAGATCTCTTCACTCAAAGTTAAAGAAAAATTTGGCGCAGCTCTTATTTTGATAGATGTTTTGAGTTTTTCTTCAATTTTGAGCAATGATATCTTGACAACTATAAAGCCAAATTCGATGAATTTTTTTTTTATTTAAATTCTACAAAGCTGTAAAAAAAATTCATCAGATTTGCTTGATGGTTGTCAAGATATCTTCGTTCAAAGTTGAAGAAAAATTTGATCTACAGAGGGGTATGAATAACAAAATTGGGGGGTATAAATATCAGCCGCCTAAAAAAAAAATACAAACTTATTTCAACCTTCTACACTACTATCATAATTCGTTATTTTACACGTTTTTAGCTCAACAAATGACGTAGTGATTGTTAATCACTTATAACTTTGGTAGGTGTGAAGGGTGGTGGGTGATTCAAAGGGATTCAACTAGAGCACAAAATTCTATTGTAAAATACCGGAGGTCCGTTTAGTTAAGTTGACTTCCGGCGTAGTTTTAAAGCGGCCGGAA